ATTGACAGGAATTCTCATTTTGCAATTTCCAAATCTCAAGCACTGCCTTTAACTGTCCCCTTGCTGTTTTCTTGGAGGACTTAACACCAACACTGCTCAGTGTACTGTTATCTCCATGCAAATAACTCAAAATTTACTTCTTATGCACAAGAGGGAGTTTTCAGGTTTTGTTAGCAAGAATCAGCCTAGTTTGATGAGTGATTGAGAATTATGATATGTTCCACAATTCCTTCCCAGAAGGCAGTGAAAATAAATGAATCACTGAAGGAATCAGTGTGTATGTGTGTGTATGTGTATGTTGTGTGTATGTATTTATATATTAATAAATGTTTTGGAGGTGGGTGCTGGACTTTGCCACATGCTAAGCTGTACTCTCCCTGTGAGCTATAGCTTCAGCCCCTATATTAGTAGAGTTTTAAAACCTTTTCATGGGTTTCCTTTTTTTTTTCTAGAATTCTAACTAAAGTATTTCCTTATTAAAAAATTTGGGGTACAATATGTATCTGCTTGTGAAATCATATTTAGTAAAGGTTGAGTACCCCTTATCTGAAATGTTTGGAACCTGAAGTGTTTCTGAATTTTGAAATATTTGCATATTCATAACAAGACATCTTGGGGATGAGACTCATGTTTAAACTTGAAATTCATCATATACACATAGCCTGAAGGTAATTTTACAGTTTCTGTACTGCACCTGTGTTTTGACTGCGACCCATCACATGAGGTCAGGTGTGGAATTTTCCATGTGTTCATGTCTGTATTCAAAAATTTTCTGATTTTGCAGCATTGCAAATGTCAAATTTTTGAATTAGGAGTGCTCAATCTGTTTTGCTCAATTAGACATAGGTAGGTACTTTCTCATGCATAATTGATTGCATTTGTAGACTTCCAGATGTAGGATTGTATCTTAAAGCAAGTATTGAACATGAGCTATGGAGTCCATTAATAATGAATGGTATTGGGCTGGGAATTTAGCTCAGTGGTACCGCCACCTGCCTCACTAGTACAAGCACCCAAGTTTTATTCCCGGTACCAAAAAAAAAAAAAAAAA